TTTTTTTGCCATTTCGTATGTCTTGGTCATATGGTTGCATATGAGATATTGATGAGTGCCATCTGCATCAGCATTCTTGGAAAGCAGCATTTCATAGGGAGTATGATCTAAACTGATTTAAACAAACCATGAAAGACTCAGTGTGTGAGAACAAAGAAAATAAATGCCAGTTAATGACTTGAAGCTGTGACTTGATCCCATGACCAGAGTTTCTGTCACTATAATGCTTTTGTTTATGCTTTGCTTCTTCCACACACTTATTAGATTTCATCAAGATGAACTAAACCTGGGGAGAGGTGGTGGGTTGTTTGGTCATTATCAGTCAAATCTGATGAAAAACACCCACAGAGTCATAAGAGAAACGATTACCTGCACTTTTAGTGTTATTAACTTGTATTGAATTATGAATTGTTTTGATACACATCAGGACTGCTTTAGTCTGCCCATATGAGCCTAGCACATAGATCAATAAATCATAATGCTACAACAAATCAGATTATTGCTCCACTTCTTTAGTTTTTCTCCTCTCTTAGGAGTCAGTACAGCACTTCAGGGTCAGCTGATCTATATTGCACAGATGCCAGCAGACAAGCTGACTCTGCAGGACAGAATGACACGATTGTCTGCCAAAAGAAAATAACCCTCCGTAATTAGATTATCAACCAAAGAGGATATCAGAATACTTAAGTGAACGTCATTGGTCATGGTAACATAAGACACATTATGCCAACATTTTGAACTCCCATTTTATTCATCATTAATATTATGGATATGTGTGTATTTTCATGGTTAAAACCCATTATTTGATTAAAAAAGCGAGGCATCTTTGGTTCGCAGATCATGGACGGTATTGTGTGCGTGTGTGTGTGTATGTTTTCAGGACTTTTGCGCCCATGTGGGACGTGTTCAGGGTGTCCTCAGACAAACTGGCCCTCTGCCACCTCGAGCTGATGAAAAAGATGAACGATCTCATCCGCGACATTAACAAGTATGGAGATGAGCAGGTTAAAATTCATCGTAAGGTATGTAACTGAGATGAAAACTAGCTGTTCTGACAGAGAACAACTGGTGTTGGCTTTGTCTCTGTGACGATCCAAAGAACTATCCCTTTTCTTGTCCTTCCCCGACCCGCCCTCATCATGATTTAATTTATCTCTTATAAAATCTAATTACTGTCCTCTCCTTTATGGCAATTGCCACATGTGCCCTTAAAGTATGGAATGCGGTGATGATCTGTTCAGCGTGTCCATATAAAATCCTATTATTGTGTGTACCACTCAGACGAAGGAGGAGATGGTGGGGACGGTGGAAGCAGTGCAGGCACTGCAGGTTCAGAGCGGTCACCTCCAGAAGTCAAAGGAGGGGTACCACACAAAGTGTTTGGAGCTGGATCGGCTCAGGAAGGAGGTGGCACCTCAGAAAGAGCTGGAGAAGGTCGGTCACCACTCACCGGCCTCCTTCAAGTCGTGGCTGCTGTTGTTTGAAATGTTCATCTTCCTTTCTGTCAGCTGTACTTTGAAATAAAAACAGGACAATTATTTGTGTATGATTCAGCAAGAAACTCAACAGTGCCAAAAAAAAAATGGTTTGGTTCGGGTAACCCACAAATCTGCTTTGATAAAAATGAGAAGTACATTTAGTATGTATCTTGTTCCTGAACTACTTTATATATTAAGATGCATTTAAGGAGATTTTTTAATATTTTATTAGATGATTAATTCTCTTAATCTTCAAATCTTTGATGATGAATGTGGTGTGGAGTCCGTCTATGGGTCAGATATTTTTTCAGTTTTGGGAATTAGTCATTGGCTTGAAGATCAGAATGTTCCCTTTCCTTTTCTTCTCACTAGGCGGAGCTGAAGTCTAAGAAAGCAGCTGAGTCTTTTGCGTTGTGCATCGAGAAGTACAACCGTGTGGGAGGAGAGTTTGAACAGAGGATGAGCGAGTCCGCCCAGGTCAGCTCCAGCTGAGCCAAGAGCCACTTTGTATCTGACTCTCTCACCCCAGGATGTGGTGTTTTTGTGTGTTCCTCCCTCTCACTGGCTTTATCTTCCTACAAATCTTTCCGACTCTCCTTTCAGTAGCCTCCCACCATGCAAGAACATCTTATTCTTTCGTTTATTATCTTATATTGCACCATACCAGAAAAAGATGAACCCCCGACTCCTAAACACCCACCCATCTGCACACATCCTGCACCCTGCTCATTACCTTTAATCACTGCCTCCACGCTTCCATGGTTACTGCTGCTGTTTCCATGGAAATTTTCAACAAACCCTGACAAGCACTTCTGTGCTTTACATTTGAAATGATGAATGAAATCCTCGTGACCAATTATCGCTTTTAATAGCTCTGAAGGGGATCGTGGGCTCATAATTAGGAGGGGAATATGTGGCACCTGGGAGAACACATTGTGCCAAAATATTGAAGACAAATCAAAGGCCACAGAAGTATGAGAACGTGGCGCTTTCTGTTAGACCAAAAGAGATTAAATTAGTCCGACCTTTAGGTGGGAGCCACACTGACTGGTACCTTGTTGACTGGCATTCAGAGCCATGTTTGGAAATCAAATGTTGGTGACACTGATTACAAATGTAGTTTTCAAGATATCCAAAAATACTTAAAAATAGTAGCAGGCTGAAGACAGGACCCTTCTCACAGTTTCTTGTAGCTTCGAGTTGTAGAGCAATGCCACGTTATTTCCATCATGTAAATAAACAACAATACTTACAATATTTAATAATAAGTTGGTAATTGCACATGGCATCTATATTGGCTCCAATAGGTACGTATGCTCATCTAAACCCAATCTTTTTTTTTTAAATGTCCCCCCCATGACAATTTCCATTAAAGGTCAAAATATAGAAACCCTGAGATTTTCTTGCTTGTTTGACAGGATCTAATTTGTGCACTTTTGAGTCAATTAAGACACCAGAGTTAAAGGAGCAGATGCTCCACAGTTGGTGGAAACTACATCCAACCAGTCGGATATTAGATTTAGATTCGGCTCACAGTGCGGAGGGCAGAAGATTTACAGCTGCGACAGATGGAAGAAGGAGCTTTGATAAAAAAAAAATACAATAGCAGAGGGTGTTTTTGGTTCACTCTCCGTGCTCCCACCAACTGTAAAAATGGAGATGAGACTGGCACAGCCTCTGCTCAGCGGAGCAACGAAAGCCACCAGCACTATATCAAGACAATTCCCCTCAAGCAGACAACGCCAAATGAGCTCGAGTGAAACAGGATCAAACTCAGATATTAAACCCTCTGAAATGATTGCTGGTTTAACAACCTGGCAGGCAAGTTCCTCTTGTGCTGGCTGACTGCCTCCCAGGAGTTCAGCTCGCTCTCAGAGGCCTTTTCTCCCTTTTTACTGCAAATAAGTGGGGTGTGAAATTTCTATTTAGTTGGATTCTGGTTGCTTTTTTGTGTACACATGTTACAAGTAAAAGTTTAATTAGAAAAGTATTGAAGCAGTCGTTCCAATTTAACTTGTGCATTCATCTAAAGGAGAATTTCTACACTTGGGGTGTTTTTTGGAATTTGTATTCTAAAGAGAGCTTCTGTTTTCTTCTTTGGTGCGTTTTGAGTAGAGGTTTCAGGAAATTGAGGAGGCTCATCTGCGGCAGATGAAACAGCTGATCAAAGGTTACTCCCACTCCATAGAAGACACCCACGTCCAGGTGGGACAGGTAAGTTGGAGATCAACTGAAATTCTGAAAGCGTTGTCCGATTATGTGTTTTTCCAGCACGACGGTGTTATTTTGAGTCAAAGCTTCGTGGAATGACCCGCAGCCTGCCATATAACAACTCCCGGCTCGTTCTGTGTTGCTCGCTGTTGACCACCCCAGATGTATTATGAACTGTTTAATGAATCGCCCGGTTCTGCTCGACTGCAGGTCCACGAGGAGTTCAAGCAGAATGTGGAAAACATTGGCATCGATAACCTCATTCAGAAATTTGCTGAGCTGAAAGGCACGGGCAAAGACAGGCCAGGTAGAGCAGCACTGCGTGCCCCGCTGGAAGGAAATAACAGAATAAAAGAGTGCATCTACAGCAGTTGTGTAACAGCAAAAGTCACGCAGACACCCACACTCACAACATCAGTGTAGAGGGTGAATCCTTCATGGTGGTTTAAGTGTGCGCTCTGTTGCCTACAGCACTGGCCGGATTTGAAGAGTACATGACGGCTCTGGCTCCCGAAGGTGGGAAAAAAAGTCGAGCCAAAGCCTTCAGGATCCCCGGTCTCAGCAAGAGGGACAAGGAGCCAGATTCTACGTGAGTGTGCGCACAAACACACATGAAATCACAGAGACCAAGTTGTGTTGTGTTGGCCTGAGTTTTTGCTGGATCATGAAAATAATTAGCTTTTTTTGTTTTTTCTATATTGCAGAGATTCAGCTTTAACAGAGGGACTGGTGAGTGTGTGACATATTCGCACCCAGATATTACTGACCCCTACGTTTCCGGATAGCCCCGCAGAGACCCCCGGCCCTGAAGGGCTTCTGCTCAATGAAAACAGTGTTTTGGCGCGGTGGAGCAGAGCGAGGGATCAGGAGTGTGAGAGGATGACGCTGTGGAGGGTGTGGGGTTTCCCAGGTTTATTCCTGTACTTCTGAGAAGGGCTTTAGGAGATGATGTTACAGGCACCGTTGGAGCACATAGCTACATCTGAGCGAGTGACTGTGCGTGCGTGCGTGTTTGTGTCAGTGTGTGTGCCCAGTTGGACGAGCAATGAGATGTGTGTCAGTGTGTAAAAGGGCTTCGGAAAGCCAGAAAGTCATCTGACAGACCGATGAGGACGCAAAGAGTAAACGGAAGATCAGAACACCACTGCTATTTTACACTTTCACATGTGTGTAGCTTCTAAATGCAGCGTGGCCATTTTCCATTCAGTGAGTGTGATCGGCCAATAGAGAGCGCAGTGTTTGAACACTGAACACGAGTATTCAATGTCAGTGTTAAATGCCTGCAATGTTTTCCACTTCCATGTTTTCTGTTCACAAAATGGCTTAGAAGAGTTCCCTTACTGTGTGTCTTTGAACTGAAACTAAAGCATTTGACAATAACTTCCTGCTGTGAAGAAAAAAGGTGAATGAAAGGATAACTTGAGAGGGGCTTAAGGTTAGAAAGAACCTTAGCTGAAAATGAATGCCAGACTTCAGATCAAGTCTTTGAACAGTTTCAGCCTGATTGAAAGCTGCTACCTCAGATACTTATGTCAAGTCAATTTAGAATTTATTTATTTGGCTCCATATGAGGTTAGAGCTAATAAATGTCCTAATATGATTGTTTAGAAAAAAAAAATCATGTTCTCAGTTACTATAATCCCCTGAGAAATGTTTACTAGCTATCGTTTAATGAAGTAGTGTCATAGTAAAGTATAATGTTTATTAGACCAATATCAGAACCAAAATGGTGTTGTCATGCTTAGAACTTATCGATATATCCTGACACTGGGGTTTGATTGAAAAACTTAAATCAACCTAACGTTGGACTTGTGGCTTCCTAACAGCTTGGTTGTAAAACAGTCAGGGCAGTAGAATCGGTGAACATTTGTTGGGTTTATTTACTTACTCGTGCAGTGAAAATCTTAGTGCTGACATATAAAGTGTGAAAAAAACATAATTTGTCTGTGCTACACACCCAGCTGCCTTCTCTCTGTTCCCACTCACACAGAACTCCCCACTGGAAGTGGACGATGAGGGCTTTGTCATCCGATCTGACAGCACTCACAACGATATCCTTTTTCTGCTCCTGCACCTTCTCTCTGGCTCCAGCATTCGTAGAGATGTGTCTGTTGTGAGTGCTCAAAGCAGAGACAGCTGCCTTTTAAAAAAAGATGGTCCATTTGATCAGAACACAGAAACACAGGCCACTGCTAGTAGTTGTGATCTGGAATGAGCAAATGTTATGGGATAGGATTTAAGCAAACTGAGGCCACACAAAAGTGTCTGTAAACCTCGTCCTTTAAAATATCCACAAATTACCACTGAATGACCAATATCAGCATAAGAAATAGATTTATTTAAACATTATTTAACATTTGTATTTACTCACAGATGAACAGAGCTTAAAAATCTTTAGATAAACCATTTGAAAAATGCAGGTTTATGTTGGTACCACAATTTCCTGCATTAGTGGCTCCATTAACCGGTGAGCCCAACCATTAGAAACGTATCATTTGTTTTCGGTTGAAAAATGGCAAAACACCTTCCACCTCATTAACTTAAGCAAAAAGGTGAAGTCGGGCTGAGCTTTGCCGTCAGCAGCCTACCAGCTTTGGGTATGAATGAACAGTTCCGCTAACTCAAAACACGAACACTCAGCTCTGCAGCTCACATCCATTTATCAGTGTCGCCGAAGAGATGCAAGATTGTTTCTGCCTTTTCCATCCTCTCATGCAACCTCTGCCTTCACAAACGTTACACATTCATCAAGCGCTGTCACAGCGGCAATAACGCTGAGTCGTGCAGCAAAGTAAAAAAAAAAAGAAAGAGAGAAGGGTAATGGCTTTTCTTACCAGTAAACACTACAGGAAGTAAACTGCTTTGCCTCTGATTACATGTGAAGTTTAGCTAGAGGGAGGGTACACCCTGGACAACTCGACAGTCCCATCAAGGGGAACACTGTAATTTCTTCTCTTAAAATCAGTTTGCTAAAAATCAAATGATCTCTGGCCCATTTGCAGTGTGAGCTTTGTCCTTGACCCTCATGTGTCCCTGCACGCTGCTCCGAGGAGAAGGAGAGCAACTTCTACTCCAGTGACTCAGACTTTGATGACGAGGAGCCCAAAAAGTTCCACATCCAGATCCGACCCGTGGCCAGCAGCAGTCGCTGCAGTTCAGTCGCTACAGAGAAGGAGCTGAAAGCCACCGTGGGGACCCTCACCCTGCCGCCCAACAGAGGACTACGCCAACAGGTCGGGCCTCCTTCTGCCCAGCCGCTTCTAACCTTCATTTGTTATGTTAAAGGGGAAAGAGACAACAAGTCTCATAATACCACCATCGGCTAGGGATCAGATCCTACCAATAAGCTCCTAAAATCACATCAAATACACTGCATTTGTTGTTTATATGTGGACACTTCACATATATGAATATTTAGGGATGAATTAAGTTTCTTTGCAACTGCTGCAGATGTTTTATGTTTGCTTGCATTTGTTTAATTCTGCTACAGCACTATTAAGGATTTTGTTGCCACAGGGCTGGCCTCCAGGACATCACATTTTAGCGTTTTAGCCTGGTATGGTTTAATGATCTTTTGGTCAGTGATGGAAATGCATAATAACTCAGCTTCTCTTTATCTGTCTTCATGATTTTTAGGTATCAGCGAAGCGGCATCTGTCCAGTAAGTTTCCTTTGATTCTGAACATGCAGCATTAACCCGTGTTTTGCGTTACATAAATGTGAAATGTACAGTTTGCTCTTATCTGTGCCGTGTGTCTTTGGCTTCATGCTTCTCTCTTTGATGCATGATCCTATGTTGCGACTGTGTAGGAAACTCAAGCACTGCAGGAGGTCGATCAGAAGATGGTGAGGCTGCCTCTCACAGAGGTGAGTCGAAACCTCATAGACAAGGCTGACAGAACGAATGAGCACGTCAGGACAGGGTGGCGTTTATGTGCAAGTTACTTTCAAAACCTGCAAACAGCTCACTAGTAGCTATTTTTCTTTAACAATCATTCCCATGAAACACGTCCCCTGTAGACACATGTGTTTATAAACCAAACACCTGGATTGATTTGGTTTTTGCTTGGGATGGACAGGCACCATATCTCTTTTACAGAGACACATTTACAGACCCTAATGCCACAAAAAATAATTAATGGTTTGAAAATATGTTTTTCCATCACTGTTTCATGTTGATGATGGTGAAACAAAAGGATCGGTCAAACTAACAGCAAAGGTGCTGAGACCACAGAATGAAAACTTGAAATGGCCTAAATTAAGAAATGTAACTTAGTCTGGATCAAATCAATGTGACAACCATTCAGTAATTAAGATGTCATCATAGAAACAACCTTTCGGGGTCACAGATGCGTTTTGTTCCGTCTGTCCTTGCTTTTTCGCTCTATCAAATGAACGGTGCCCTCAAACAGCATCTCTCAGTCTTCAGCCTGCTCAGCCTCTGTGCCCCCCTGTAGACCTCAAATTTGCTCATTGGCCGACCGAGCACGAACAGCCGACCCTCCCTTCCCGCTCCAGAGCGTGCTTCATCACCAGCGCGTTCGTTATCTGTCAGCGGGTCAGGAAGGAGTGGGAAGGGCGGCCTGCCGCAGTCCAGCAGCGGGGAGCCTGTGCCTCTCACATCCAGAGGCGGCGGGCGGGATTAATGAGCAGCATCTGATTAGAGCCGTGGCTCTGCTGCCAACGGGAGCGGCATCTACAGCTCAGTCAGCGCCGGCTAATTGCTGGTGTTTATCCCAGCCAAATGTATTGTCTGTTGGGTTTTCCCGCGAATCTTCTCATCTCACCCCATCACGCCCTCTCTCAGAGTTCTGACGCTGAAAGCCGTGGGGATGATTAGTCCCGATTAGGGAGCGTCCTCTGCAGTGACTCATTGGTATTGTGTGTCTTGCAGATGGAGAGCAGGAGGGCCTACGCAGGTCCACCTCCAGCCCTGATCACAGCAGGTGAGATGAATCTGCTCTTGGCTTTATCACCTCCATCGCTCTTCGTATCTGACCGAGCGGGGCAGGAAGACGAGCTCAGTGGTTGAACTCTGTCATTAGTGGCTTCTCTAACTTTGAAGCCTTCGTCACTTCTTCTTACCCCTTTTTTTTAGAACTCGTTATTTCCTCTCTGTGTTTCCTGTGTCGCTCAGACCAGGCTTCCTTTAAACGAATGAGGTGAATATGAATAGATGGAATAGAATATAAAAACACTAAAACAAAGAGACTCTTTCATTTTATTCTTTATTTTTCCACTTTCTTTTCACAGCTGAAGGAATGAACCCCAAATATTTATAGAACTCCTTTTCATTTCAGATTCTGTCCTTGAGGATTTCAAATGATGGCTTGTCCACCCGTTGTTTTGTTTTTTTAATATGCTGCTCTGCTCTTGTCATTTCCCTCCTCTTCAGGCTGAGTTCTACAGCATCTGGCTCAGACAGTCTCTTTGGACCTCCCCTGGAGTCAGCCTTCAAGTCCAAAAGCTTCGACAGCCGCGAACAGCTCAGAGAGCAGAATGCATTTGGTACTTCTGAATGTAAGAAAAGCTGGAAAAATCATTTTAAAACCTTTTTTTTTCTGTGTACGTGTGGTACCCAAATAGATCTTTTTACACAGCAGGCGTTTTCAACTCATCAGAATGATGACAACAAAGGTGGAAATAATGACGCCTCTGTACTGTTAAGTATCCAAGAAGCCACAGTGATGGATCTGCACAGAACAGATTCTCCTTTCAGTGGAAAACAGATCATTAACACAGCTGCATTTTTCCCTGTAGGGTCATTTACAAGATGATTAACTCTGAAGATGCCGCTGCTTTTTTAGAAATTAGAAAAATAAAACTTTATCTTCTATTTAGGATGAGAATTAAACTTTCGGCTTACTTTCTTCAAGCCTCATCTCTTTTAAATATCAAACATGATGGCAATGATTCAGACAATAGTCAGAGACCTTGTTAAAAGGGGAAATTCTCTGTTGCGTGAGTGAAAATGACATCCTTGCTCATGTCTTATGAAAACAAAAAGGCAAAAGTTTATGGGGAGAGCTCAAAACTAAGTGGAACTGAGTTTAGCATATGTCCAGAAAGTGTGTCCTTATTGGGTGGAATCACACCTGTTCTACTGTCTTTTTGTCTCAGGAGTTTTGTTTCCCCCTTGATGGCGATAAACTCATGAACTGTGCTACTTTTGTTTGTGTTTGTGTGCATCAGATGCTGCCTTCTCGTCTGATTCCTCTTCACCGGAGAATGTGGAAGACTCGGGCCTGGACTCCCCTTCCCATCAGCCCCTCGGACCCTCTCCTGAGCCGGTGGGCTGGGCAGCCTGGCCTCCCGTGTCCCAGAATAAAGAGCAGACACAAGCACTGGGGCGGCCGGTGGACCCTTTCCTCTCCACTTTCCTGGACTCTTCTCCTCGACCGAGCCCAAACCCGCAGGACGCCGGCGCCTGGTCCGTCGCCTCCTCGCGTCCAACTCGCGCCCTTCCAGACATGGAGGCTTCATCTGTGCGGTTCCCTGCGTTCTCTCAGTCCCTCCACCCACCGGAGATGGAGTCGTCCGTGTGGAGCTGCAAACACATTCCGCCCGAAGACCCTTTCCTCGCTGCCTTCGAGAGGACGGTCACCCAGGAGACATTAAACCTGTCCGACGCCTGGGCGTGCCCACCGCCTCGCCCCTCCCAGGAGGGCCGGGGAAAGGAAGTACGCGGGGACCCGTTTTCCGTCTCCCTCTCTGACACCAAGACACTGCCAGCCCCATCCTCTTCGTCGTCATCGTCCTCCTCCTCCAATCGTAAAGAAAAAGAGAGGAGGCGCGACCGAAGCCTCCCCCCTCCCATTGCCTCCGACGACCCGTTTGCGATCACTATGATCGGCAGTCCGACGCACCAGTCGTCGCTGGCCGCGGCGGCGGGGCCGGTGCCTCAGTTGACCTCCAGCATCAGACCGGGTACTAACGCCGCCTCCAGCTCTTTGCCCTTATCTCAGCCAAAGAAGGAGCTCAAGCACTGGAACTCGGTCCACAACCCCTTCAGCGAAGGCGGCGGCGGCTCCAGAACGCTGGACGGAGCAGGAAAAGGAGACGGAGAGAGTAGAAAACACCGATCGTCTGAGAGAGAGCCCCGCAGGAACGCCCCCCCCCTCACCAGGCACTCGGGACCTCAGGAGGACCTGTGTTTTTCCACAGAGAAAGACCAGGACTGTCTGGACCTGAGCACTCAGATGACGTGCAACGTCAGCTCTCACAAGGGTACGAAATGGTTTACTCTGTCGTTGTGGGGGGATTTTCTTTGGGCTGTTAAATTTAGAATGAAAGCTGCCAATGTGGCATTCCGGCTTCTGGTTATTCCCCCCGTCAGCAGAAGCAGGTGTGAGTCCTTCAAAACAATTCCCCGAGTTAGAAGTGTCCTGCAAAGAAAGAAGAGTAGAAATATAGAAAAACAGAAGCAGGTTATCTTACCTGTGTAATTATTCCTTAATAAACAGGCTCCAGCTGTGGGTCCAGCGTGATTCAGATGCTTTTGTTTGTGTCTTCAAGGTTCCAAACATAACTTCAGACAGGACCCGGCTGATGTTGTGCTGGCTGCTCCTCAGAGAGCGACCCGGGCCAGGAGGACGTCGGGCCGACTGGGCGGCAGTGAGAGAGTGAGCGTCCCCACAGGGTGTGAGGGGGGAGCAGCGTGTGTGTGTGAGCACCGCTCACACGGCAACCGCCTCTCTCTCCGTTTCAGTCCAGGTCGCTGTGCTCTTCGCCCATGCTGGAGCCCTGCCCTTCCCTCACCTCCTCGTCCTCCTCCAGCCCCAGCGAGTGGGGGCCCCAGGCCAGAGAGGGCGAGTGGGGGGCGCAGCACCGGGCAGCCAGTCCGGCCAGGGCGGGGCAGGCCTCGCCCCTGCCCTACCAGCACCAGGACCACCCGCCCAGACAGCGTACGCCACGGAAACGGCACCGCCGAACGCTTTAAACACGCCCTGTAGCTCTTTTAAAAATTTATCCATTCAGCTTTAGACCTTCAGGCTAAAAGTTTTTCCCTTTTTTCAAATCTTTATGATAAGTTCTAAAGTTAGGGTTTACTCAATCTGGAAAAAGTGTTCCTCGACTTTTTGTTATTGCAATAAAGCATATAAAGTATATTGTAGATTTTTCAAAAGTGCACTTCTCAAAGCTTTGTGATCCTCCACAGTGCACCTGTCCAGAGGTCCCAGCCCCATTTCCCTCAGCACTCAGGAGGCCTGGCCGGTCGCTGCCGCCATAACCGAATATATCAACGCCTACTTCAAAGGCGGACAGCACAACCGGTGAGCGCGATGCTCCACGTTTGACAAAAAAATCACTTCTGTTGCTCGCGGACTCTTTGATTGAGTTAACGCACAAGTTATCCAACTTGTTTTGTGCGTTTTTGTTTTTTTGTTGTTTTTCTTTCTCCAGCTGTCTGGTGAAGATCACAGGCGACCTGACGATGTCTTTCCCAGCGGGGATCACCCGCATCTTCACCGCCAACCCCAACGTTCCCGTGCTCAGCTTCAGACTGGTCAACATCTCCAGGATCGATCACTTCCTGCCCAACCAAAAGCTGCTCTACAGGTCGGTCAGCCGCCCTCCGAGGTCTTTGGCTCACAATGCCGTTTGCGCAGGGATCAAATCTCTCTCCTCACGATGAGTCTGCGTCTCCACAGCGACCCCTCCCAGAGCGACCCAGACTCCAGAGACTTCTGGTTCAACATGCAGGCTCTGCAGCTCTACCTGCAGAGGGAGGCTGAGCTCAACCCCCAGGCCTCCTACTACAACGTGGGCCTGCTCAAATACCAGGTCAGGATCTAAGAGTCTCATCCTGCCACGCAGATATTTCTGTTACGTTTAAGTTTTCTTCTTCATCCAGGAAAAACACATTTCTTTTCATAGACAGCAGTAGTAAAAGTGAACACACAACAACCGTACAGTCATGTGACTGATACAGAACAACACAACCTTCCTCTTTATGCCTCTGTGGTGCGTTTCTCATTTCGCCTTCAGTGTTACTCGATTTACCACAAGTTTCCTTCAAAATTGTTGAAAAGAGAAATGTACACATGAGAATAAATCCTTTCTCCTTTTAATGTTGAAAACCATCCTCTGTAGGACCTGCTGCCATTTCCTTGTATTTGCTGCATTTAGGAGAATTCGTGGCCAGCCCTGACGGTTCAAATAACCCCCTTGCGTGTCTTGTCTCAGGTGTCGTCTCAGGATCCGGGCCGGGCCCCTCTCCTGCTGTCTGCTGAATGCCAGCGGAGCGGCACGGTGACCCGGGTGTCCCTGGACTACCACTGCTGCCCCGCCACAGCCCCCTCCACCCAGCTGACCGCCGTCCAGGTGCTGCTGCCCCTGGACCACACCGCCACCGACCTGCAGTGTCAGCCGCCGGCCTCCTGGTAAGCCGCCACAACGGGAACGACGAGTTTAAAAAGGGACAGGGAGGAGGCAGAGCACTTGATTGCACAAACTAAGCTAAAGCGAGCCCCCGCTGAGGAGCGTGAACAGAGTCTGTCGGCTCTTCCTCTCTAATTAATCAGTTTCATGATAGTCCCAACACGCCGGCTATGTAGTGCTGCCATCATCGCTAATAAAAAGCATCATCATGATACGGCCCACATCTGACCTCACAGGTCTGGGCTGGGGAACTGGAAACACTCCAGTACCGGCTGTCCTTTTTTTGATTAATGAAGTAATAAAAAGTTAATGCGTTGGTCGTGGACATTAAGTCTTGAAAGCAGCAGAACAGCCAACATAGTGGGTCGCTGCTTTATTTTAGTTTTTTTCAGCCAAAACGTACGGTAGGATCTCTCTTTCTAGTTCCGATACTAAAACTGTGGGCTGCAACCCTGAAACAATATTTAATTTTTTAAGGGAATGGGCCCTGTGGCTCGTTCAGCTCTGGGGTGTGGAGCCAGGGGGCTGGTGGGTCTCTAACCAACTGCTACTGTTCTTTTCTTTGTTTTTGCAGGAATGCCGAAGAGCGACGGCTGCTGTGGAAACTCCCCAATCTCTCTCCGACCAACCACAGCAAAGGTCAGAGCTACGCTGCCGCTCTTCCACCTGATTTTGGAAGCCGGCTCACATTGTGCTCTAACATTTAGTCGACATATCGACTCCCATTGATTTCCTGTTGACTTCGGTATTGTGTAAACGCCACAGCTGAAGGGGCACGGCCCGTTGGATAAATGCCAATTACTACAAACAGGTGTGGTCAGATCTCCTTAGCTCACTTCAGATGATCAAAATAGGACTGATAGAACTGTCGTGTTCAAAGACCTCAAAGGTGCAAAAGATGAGAGACGGCATACAGCAATGCTCCAGTCTAATATTACTTATTTTAGCTCAAGGCTTCTTTTACCTTTGAGCCTTTATCCACCCACATTTTTTCATTTGTTCCCTTTTTTTTGTCTGGTGATTTATTTTGACCTTGAAGCTTTGTGTCACAGAACATAGAAAGAGGAAACTATTAGGAGACATCAGAGATGGATGGGATGATAAAAGCAGAAAGCATTTCTTGGACATCTCTGATTTATCAGACAGGAACAGGAAGCACTGAAAGGCAAAAATCCACTACTGTCCTCTGTCTTTGTTCTCTGTTAAAGTGGTGAAGGTGAAGCTTTACATTATCAGTCTGTTTTATATATATATATATTATACCTCTGCTTAAATAGGGTTATTGTTTTTTTTTGCCAGGTGCACTTGAACTATCAATAAAATCCAACAATTAGTTGGTGCTGAACTAAATCCACTGAATTTAAAAGGAAATTAATTCAGAGTGTCTCACATTTCTCTGATATGTCTTTAAAAAGTTTTAAAGCTTTTTTTTTTCTTGCCAGATGGGGAAAAAACTGAATTGTGTTAGTCTGAACCAGATATAGCTTCCTAAAACTGGATAGGCGGATAATGTGGTTTCGGGTGCAATCAGCCTCCACACGCTCACTCGTCTTTTCTTGAAAAATGTCCCCAGCTGCTCTGCTCAAAATTTGTCTGTTTGTGACAACAGTAAAGTAGAAGTGTTGATGCAAATTTCCCCAAAAAGCTGCTCTCATTCACCGTTTTCTCAGGTTGCTAAACATGTCAGAAAGTGTGACAGAAACGTCATCCGACTAAATCATTCAGGCAGCTTAAAGACTGCAATCTGCACAGAGGAAGCTTGAATGAGATCTCAGACAGTTCGGGGTGGCGATGCGGGACAAACTTTGTGTGTGTGTGTCTGTGTGTGTGTCAGGCTCAGGGACTCTGTGTGCCAGCTGGCAGTGTCTGGAGGCCCCCCGCGGCCCCCCGCCCAGCCTGGCTGTGCAGTTCGTGGGCTCCGGGACCTCGCTGTCGGGCATGGACGTGGAGCTGGTGGGCAGCCGCTACCGCATGTCGCTGATCAAGAAGAGGTTTGCCACAGGTAACGCGTCAGACCCCGATGTCACGTCTCAAATAAAAATACTGAACCTTTTTATTGGCTTTTCCTGCAATTTGTGCCACGAAAGCTCCTGCTGAACACTATGAACGTCGTGGGAGTTAAAGGTAGCCCTTTAGGGATTGCCCTGAAAGTGGAAAAACCATCAGCATTTGTACCCTCACGAACACGCTTTTTCCTGCATTTAATATGAGATGTCATACAAATGGTTTATTCCATATTTGTGAAGTACAAAACCTGCAAGTAATTGTTTCTAAGCTTTCTTTTTTTGTTTTAGAGCCTAAACAGTTTCATTTGTAATGAAAATAACATATTTGGAACCGTTATTGATTTTAAAGTCTTTATTTTCCCTTTATGTCTGGCAGTAGTTAAAACAGCCCCTTACAAGCCTTCTTGCTGAGGGTTAGATCAAGAGGCTGGGATTGTAGTTTTTTTTTAAGCTGCAGCCAGTTCGACACCGACGCAGATAAACGAGGCTGGTTCTGCCTCACAATAACTAAATCCACCTAGCAGCACCTGAACCGGCCTCTAATCGCCTCATTAGAGAGCCTGGGAGCCGCAGGCGTGAAGCCATGGTGAAAGCTGCCCCGGCCAAAGCGTCCAACCCTCGTTAACGCACCAGCACTCCCTTCTGCACCCGGTTTACCGACTGAAGGAGAAGGTTTAATATTTCTCATTGCCTTTGACAGGGAAGTACATGGCGGGCTGCTCCTTGTGAATGGCGCACAGGAGCTGATGTTCTGAGGACCAGGCTGAGAGAGCTTAGCACTTTTTCAACGTTCCAGTGGAGAGGCCGCTCTTGTTAAAGCAAAGCTGCTGGACTCCGCCGCAGCCCCGCTGTGGAGGACCACGTGCACTTACTGCTGACTGTCCGGCTGCTTCAGGACCAAGCCTTTTTCTTTTTTTCCTTTTCCTTTTCTAAGTTTGTTGTTGTCCATTTCCTCTTCTCGTTGCGTTTTGTGTGCCTTCGTATATAAAAAAAAAGAAAAGAAAACTAAGCTAGATATCTGAACATTTCTTAAATTACAGAGAAAGAAAAAGAAGTGTGAAACATAGTGAAGCGTGTGACAGTTTGGAGCAAAGTTGCCATGGAAACTAGGATTTTTAAATGATGTAAATACTGTATTTCTGTATTATCCTAAATGTTCACAAAATCCATTTGTGAGGGAAAAAAACCTACCAAACTGTAAAAAAAAAAAAAAAAAAGAACTGTTTGTATATCTGACATTTGTTCTTATAGTTTTTGTGATGTTGATTTTTTTGGATTAAAAAATTAATCATTAATAATAATATGATAATAAACACTCAAATATTTCAGTTTTCACCAGTTTATTACACATTGTGACCAAGTACAAAATACAGCTGAACTATGCAGTTTGTTACAGACCATCATCTGTCCGTAAGCTAGTTAAAGTGTAGTCAAGAACAGGTTTAAAAAGACAAAAATAAGGGTTCGGTATACTTGTAAGAAGAACCTAGTTCAATAAAAAATAATCCTCCGCCAAAAGATCTAAACAGCCATACAAAACATTACAAAGTACACACAAATATATTTTTTTCCAAAGCACTTTAAGGCAAATTACTGTGACAGGCACAAGTTACAAAAAGCCTTAAATAAGTCAAACTCATGAGACTCTCGTTGCTACAACCAAATCATCTTGGACAGAGGAGGTGGGGTCAACGGGAACCAATTAAACACCCAAACATATTCCAACACAAAGCCGAAGTCCATCCAATCGGATTAGTTCATATAAATAGGATCTTTCCATGGGACAGTTTAATATTTTACTGGGGGCAAAAGCAGCACCACTAACTAAATTTAATTGACTAATTTCCATCCATTTAACTGGGAATTGAGAACAAGTGAATTATACATGTCGCTCTAAATCATTTACACATCGAAACATTTTCTTCTGATACAATGTGACCAGACGAGTACAGAGAGATTAGGCCACAGAGCACACACTTTCTAAATCATATAAAGATATATATGTATCAATCTATATATATATATTTTCATATATATATATATATATATCATTTATCATAAACAAATTCCCAAATAGCACACTGTATTTTTCCTATCTTATTCAAACAGAATATAAGATTTTAACTGAGTAACAGCATGAGGTCAGGGTATATGATATCTGGGGAGTGTGTGCTGGCTGAGATGCCAACCCGATCCTATCTGCGTGTAAAAGTTTTGGTTTACAGGTCCAAAGCTCTGGCGTGTATTGTATTTAACATCCCGTGTCCATTAAACTGATTGCTCTGGGTTTCTTAGAGCTCTGGGCTGACAGAGAAAACGACCACGGGTCTGTGCGCGGATCCTTACCCGGGTTTGAGACCAACGTGGAAAACTATGTACAGGAGTGCGACGCACAACAGAACGGTGGCTACATTTGCGTGGTGCTCCCGTTGTTGTCGGAGCCCAGCTGAGCGCGGGAACGAGGTCTGAGGTAAACGAAGCAAACGGCTTACATCGCCAAGCTCCCGACCACGGCCACGTTACGAAGTCCTGCTGTCTGAAAAAGACGGGGCATGGGTTTGACTAAGCTGGTGGGAATAACTGAGGGGAACGTCCTTTGGGTCAGTAGGCTGCTTGTTCCTATTTATTTTATTTTTTTTACCCTTTTTCATGCTTCTGCTACGAGCCGCAGCGGAGGAAACAAGAAGAGCACATGGACACCTGATCGAGGTTAAAGGTGCTTCGAATGTTTGAGGTTTGGAGACAATACATTCATAGTGCTGTAGAGGCACAGCTGAGGGACAGACATCTGCAGTGGTGGGTTCAAAGTTAGCGATCTAAGGCACTGAAATGACACTATGGCACAGCTAACTGAAATTCAAAACGAGAAGGAAAAAAAAAAAGGAGATAAGACGAATCACAAACACCACCACTCAAAGTTACATATCCAATAAGAAGGTACTGCACGAAAATGATTCTTTCACAGTTGCAACAGAAACGGAAGCAATCAGAGCCGTGTTACAAATCCCGCGGGTTAAAAAGGAAAGAAAGGTTCCGTCGCCCTTAAAACACTAGAGGGGAGACCCGGCGCTGCTACACTCTTCTCTATTTACATTGCACACTGACTGCAGAAGAAGAGCCAACTCTTCCCTCTCGTGGAGATGCCGCTCCCCCCGGGGGCTTCCGGAAAGGACTCACATCTCCTGCAGAGGGTGGCTCATTTCGATGCGCTCCCTCTTCACGGCCGGCTCCGAAGGCCCTCTGGCCTCATCGGCGTCGCTGCCCAGGTTACTCATCTCAGAGAAGGCTGTGTCTGGGGCACAGAGGGGACATGGGGTGTGTGACCATGGTTTCAGAGAGAAAAAGATTCCCCAGTTACTGCCATAGCTGTGGGACCTCCAGCTAGTTATCATACATGTGGTACACGGGTGAGTGGGGGTGCAAAATCATATGAAGAAGCCATTGGTTCTACATCTGGGACAGTTGAAAACTGACCAGTGAAATTGGGCCTGGTTGTGGATCACTCAAAAATTCAGTTATTTTGTGGATTTGTGGTTCTGATTTAAAGCCAATGATCATTAACACTTATACAAAAAAAAAACACCCAATGACAAGGTGTTACTATGACAAATGGTTTATCTATGTTAAAATAACAGCGATTTAATGCTATTAATTGCCCATAAAAACCAGCTGGGACAAACTGCTTTTTTACTGCACTTGTACCAAAGGTAACACTTAGAAACAAACACTTACCCTTTTCCATGAGAGATGGGATCATGGAGCTCAGGTCACTGAACTGTAATGGAAGTGTATAAGAGCGTTATAATCAAAGCCAGTTTTAAAACCGCCTCAGACGGCGTCTCCTCATCAGAAAAGATCTGTACCTCTCCCATAACGGCGATGGGGGTTTCTCCGGTGGCCTGGGCCACGCGGTGCTCCACCAGGTAAAACATGTACTCGTCATACAGCAGGCGGATCAGATGGAAGGAGCCGAAGCTGGCCGCACTGCGCAGGGTCAGATCTCTGATCACCATGGAGCTGCGGGACGGAGAGAAGCACGCAGCGCGTCACAGACTCGTCCCGCTGTCCCGTTTAGGCCGGCGTGTGGCCTTTCCCTGCACGTACCTGTAGAAGGACCACTTGAGCAGGAACTGGCGAGCGGCTTTGGGGAAGCTGGGGCTGCCCTGGTGCGGCTTCAGGACCTGGGAGACCACGTTGTCCAGCCAGGTGGCCCACTGGTCCAGAGAGCTCTGCTGCTGCAGGGTGACCTTAAAGTCCTGCTCCAGGCGCTGGACCACGCTCTCGTCGCACTGGCAGACCCACGACGCCTGCTCCTGTTAGGAGAAGCGCCCGCCGTCAGCCGGAACCCGCCGCAGCGGTCAGCGGCCAGCGGCCGGCCCATTCAGACCCACGGTCCGAGAGCCGCCCCGCGGTCTTACCTGCACGTTGGCGAAGTCCACCCTGTTGAGGTCAGAGAGCATCTGGTTGATCTGGGAGGTGTTCTGCAGCACGGCGCGCGCTGCCTGGGCCAGGTGGTTGAGACTGGTGTAACGTCTCAGAGTCTGAGCGAACGCGCTGACCACCGCCACCTGTACCACAACCAGGAGCAAAGCTGCTCAGCAACCGGTGTGACCAGCACACATCTGTCCACAACTGCACCGGTATTCATTTACAGAGATCTTGTGATGTGTCGTACTCCAAAATTAGTAAAAAATAGTTTAGTCAAGCATGAAAAATACCTACAAACAGTAGAACCTCTACATACGAATTTAATTACTTAGCTTATTTATTTTTATTAGATTTTTATATTTTATATATATTTTTCTATGACTTTGACATCATATGTTGGAAATTTAATTCAGGTGTCGAGTCGAATATTTGATCAAATTTCACTTGTATGTTAGAAAATTAATATGTTTAGGCAATCATAAGTAGAGGTTCTACTGCATATGTGAATGTTTCGGGAGGACTCCATGCATCAGTCACGTGTTTAGGCATTAAACAGTAGAAGAGGGAAATGCTCCTGTTACCTTAGTGCGAACGATCTCCTGCGGGAAGCTGGCCATGGCGTTGGTCAGCCAGCCCTCCAGACTCTTGGCAAAGTTTCGGATAGCCTGAGTGAGAGTGCCTGTAGAAACAGAGCATTCTGGATTAAAAACTATACAGCAGGGAGGAGAGTTCCCAGTTCAAATCTCTGTGTAGGTGAGGTATATCTGGGTGCTCCTGCATCCCCCCACAGTCCAAAAACATGCGTGTTAGGTTAATCTGTGGTTGTAAACCTTCTGTGGGAAGTTATCCCTAGAGCAAAGAGGTAAACTGTTGTGTTCAGAATAAAACAAAGGTGTTACTTAAAATGAGGGAACTCAAGGCTGTCGATATGCTCAAATCACACTTTATATTCAGAATCGGGACTGGAATGAATTTGAAGTTGAATCGGTTTGATTTGAAGTAAACAACCCCTGACTCTAGCTCTGGAAGAGTTTGGATTTGGGCGACGTATTTGAATTTCAGGATTTGATGAACAGACGAAAAAATATATAAAAACAATGAATTTCTCAAATCTTCAGATTTCTGGCTGAAAACCATTCAAACGGCAACAGTTGTTCTTACTGGGAACAGGGCGCAGCACGTCGGGAATGAGGATCTCTACCAGGGCCTGGTAGAGGATGTGATCACAGCTCCTCATCCACAGTCTGACTGGTTCATATTTACACAGAGCCAGCAGCTTCTCTCTGGATATCACACCTTCCACATCCTCGTCACTACACACAGAAAAATAAAAACAAACAGCTTTAACGGTGACAGAAGGTGATTATTTGATCGTGAGCCGTAAACCCAGAGGCCTCTCGCTGTGTGTTCAGACCTGTTGGGGATGGTGGTGCTCCCATCACTAGATGGCGGTGTTGAATACCAAAAGGTCTGCCAGAGTTTCTCAATGTAGTGGAACTGGAGGTTCATCACCACATCCAGAGTGGCCTGCAGGGGAGTTAGCAAAAGAGGGAGGGAGTCAGAGGAGGAAAAGGAGGGAACGGAGGAGGGGAAGGGGGAGGAGGAACAAAACATACAGAGCTGAACCATGGCAACCAGACACACAACAAAGTTTCGGCAGGCAGGCGGGCGGGCAGGCAGCCTCTCGCTCTACCTCGGCCCTCTCGGTTAGACAATGAGCCAGCTTGAACACATTAATCATCAGGAGAATCCTACAAGCCATGGCCAGACTTCATTTTACATTTTGTCTCCCGTTTTACTAATTTCTGTAACAAATGTATTTGAAAACTTCATGAGGCAGACAGGGCTCATATTTATGAAGGCACTCGCTTAATTACACCCACAATACTTCCTTCTTCCTGTTCATATGCGTGAGCCTCTTTGAAAGCGGCACATATTGGAAACAAGGAAGCCAGAGGAAGCAATAGAAAGCTGCTGATAGAGCGAGAGATAATCTGGCTCTGGACCCCTCCCGGCAGAATATTTATTTGCTGGGAAGTTAAAGGCAGTCCATCAGACCAGAGGAGATTGGATCTGGAAAACAGGACGATCTGTTAGTGTCGGTCTCGCACAGGTCTGTAAACCTCCACACGGGCAGCGTCTGTTGAGCAGAAGTGTTCGATTCACTCTCTGCCCACAGATTCTCTTCTCTGGATCTGGCAGGACATGCACTTGCTGCTGGATCTTGTTACACGGCAGCGTAAGCGTCGATCACATGGTAGGTTTTTGCTTCCTCTCTGCCCGTTGCCATGGGAACCATGTTTACGGTTGCCCCCGGCAACAGGTAAAACACAGAACTCCAAAACAAAAGGGAGAATTTCCCATTCCCTCCAAACAAGAGCATTCTGCCTCCACTGTTCCCCCCGCAGAAAAGAAAAACAGCATGCTTTGAAAGAAAAAAAGAAAAGAGAATAAGCATGTGAGTGCAACACGTGTCCACATGCAGAGCCACAGACAGAGAGATGAGCAGCCCGCGGCAGAGCGTCCCAAAACTAAACCTCTGAGCGTTGATAGGACAGCTTCTGTGGTTTACAGAGCCGTTTATCTGACATTGAAACATTTGCGTTAAGCAGAACTTTAAAGGCTCCTGGTGGGACATCAGGTGTTACCATGACGCTGGCAAACAGTTGATAAAGATCTATCAACGTCTCACTGGAAGTTCAAACTGAAACTTTAAATGATATAACACTCTGGGCTAATTTCTTTAGAAGTCAATGTTGGCTTGCGGAGAATGAGGGGGAGAAAAAGAAAAGAAAAAGTGAAACGCATAAACATGAAAACACTTGGAGGCAGCGAGTGCGGTGAGAGTGACAGAAATGCCCTGGCAGACAAAGACAGGAGCCCATGTGCCTGTCCACAGACAAGGCGACACAAAGGCCTGAGGGGAGGCCACCACAAAGACACCGAGATGTCCACCCAGCAAGCTGAAAGGTTAATTGGCATGTCTTGAAAGCTGCACAGAGATGAAAAGACGGCCGGAACAAAGGGAGTGTGGAGAAGCTGGACAAGGGGAGGGCAGGGATAATATGATGAAGCCAGAGCTTTGCTGCTTTAATCGCAGCTTCTCTACTGCCTGTGAAACCCCTAATTCTGATGTGCAGTTTTATTTCCATTCCCCCTGTTTTAATCCTGTGCCGAGTCTAATTCACTATCCAATGAAGAGAGTGAGAATTATGCTCAGACTGAAAGTTAAACTCAGATTCCTCTTTGTACATCACAGATTTTTGGTTCAGAAAATGGACACCTGTGGACTGTTGTGGACTGTGGAGGTTTCTTAATGACACTAAAAAGATAAAGAAGCCAAACAGAGGACAGAGAGACCAGAACCAACACTATGTTCACCATAACTTTTTAAACTGCTGAAGCTTCTCTTTAATATGTCACTCAGCCATGAGCCCATGCATCAAATAAAGTTAGGTGTGTATTTAATTTTATGCAATTGATTTTTTGTTGCAAAGACCAACAGGAATAAATAGTGTACCTCATAAGTGAGACGTCTTTGATGATATGAAAGTTTTAATGGGTAAAACCCACCTCGCAGTGGTCTCTGTAGAGTGTTTGCAACTTCTTGATGTCATTCATGTTGATGCGCTCAGGCAGAGGCTGGGTGCCCAAGTCAGGAGTGGGAAATGGAGGCAAGGTGTGAGATGTATCTGCATTAGAAAAACAAGAAAGGAGACTGGCGTCACTCACTGAGTCTCAGATCTCATCAGCGATTATGTATGATGTAAGAAAAAAAGACTGGGTAACAGATAAGATTAGAGTTTGGATGTCAGCTGGACTTTACCTATGTACTGCTGGTGGTGTTGGCTCTGAGCCGCCACCGACTGCTCCGGAGTGCTGCTGCAGTGCTGAGAGCTCCCACAGAGGCTGTCGGACATGCTATCCACCTTCTGTAGAGGCTTGAACCTGTGCAGGACATGCACGCGGGGAAAGGAGAATAAACAGAATAATCTAAAAATCAGCTTGAAGTAAACATAAGACTAATGAACGTTCAGACACCGAAACATGGAAGAGGACCGAAAGTTGTCAAACCGGTTACACAGAGAAAGGCCTCACCTCTGTTTCTGGTGAACAGGCTGCTGCCTCATGGCCATGTACTGGGTGTCCTCCTGCAGTCGGTTGAGCGGGGAGTCTGGCTTCACCCGGATGCCATAGTAATGATACTTAGAGTTACCTCTGGTGGGCACGAGGAGAGAAAAGCCAGAAACCAGTGAGCAAAGGTCTTGCCGTCAGTGTAATCACTATCATTATCCCCTTTCCACCAGCACATCTCCAATGTCTAGGAGCATCACCACACTCGTTACATTTATAATGGTTGTGTGATTACCGTAATCAGCATCTGCAGCAACCTTTCCCTACCTGGTGCCAAGGCGGCGGGTCCTCAGGCCCATAAAGACGGAGCGGATGAGTTTGCCGAAGGAGGCAGCGTTGACCGGATCCAGTTTCTGCTCCCGACAGTGCCGCAGGTAATGGTTGTACAGGGAGCATCGGGGTAGGCTGACTCCTTCTGCTGTCTCGTAGTTGTCCAGCAGCCACTGGAGCTAAAAATACACAGAGGAAGACACAGTCGCACAATCAGCCGCCCCTAGGGACAAACTTTCCTGTGCGATAGTCACCTGACAGCGACAGAGAGGAGCAGTGAATCTTCATTATCACATCAAAAGACAGAAAACACACACACACACACACACACACACACACACACACGCACAACTTCCTATTTTTAAACACCAGAGACTCCACTGCACTACTTCTGTGGCTATGTTTAGATCTGTTTTTTGACTGAGGAAGTAGGAGGTTGTTGTACCAGAAACCGCTGGCTGAGTGAAGGTCCGAACATCTGCATTGCTCATTACTTTGTCCGATAAATTTCCAAGACAATACTAGAAAGAACTGTATTGTGGTGTTGCCTGTAAAAGTGCAAACAAAAAATTTGCAAAGCCCAAACCAATCCTCAAATTTCCTCAAAACGATCGTCAAGAAGTTAAAATGTACTGATAATATGTGCGTGTATTTAGGTATTTGGTATAGAAAATGCCAGAAATCTCAACAAAGAAGAAAAAACATCATTCAACATTAGTTCATGCAGAATATCAAGCCACGCTTAGAGGATCTGTACTTATGGAAGAGTGATAGCAAACGCAAGTACAGATCAAGGACGAAAACAGACCCAGACCCTTGTGCGTGTCAGTGGGACAGTGCAGAATAAATGTTAGCGGTAGTCTGTGTGTTCAACTGAGCATTGCACAATTAGAACACAGAGCCTACAGGTTCAGCCACAGCTTTCCTCCTTTTTCCTCCCATTTCCTCTCCAAAGAAAGTTTCTCGTTAACTTACATGGCTGTTGAGCAGGCTGCTTTTGTGACTTGCAATTCCTTCAGACTTTTGGAGGTTTTCAATCGCCATTTCAAGCTAAAGAAAGAAGAAGCATGCAAAACAGGGGGAAAAAAATAGAGTGGACACAGAAGGGGGAAGAAGCCAGAGAGTAAGAGAAAAAGGAAAAGGGACGGGGACAGAAATAAGCAGGGATATAATGAAGACAGAAAGGACACAAAAAAAGATAAAGGAAATAAGACTGTTAGCAGGCAGCCAGATCTCTGCATTTCCATTAAAATCAGTCAGTGTTGCAGCCAAATCCATTATTGGCTAACAAAAGCATGCAAATCAAGGAACTCATAAGGTTAAGCTGCTCACTGAAGGCTGGGGGTCAGACGCACTAATGTATGCAAATAGGAACCACAAACAGTGACACAGGTCAACTCAAAATTTAGGACAGAGGGTCAACAATGCCAATCATACCAGAGCTGGTAACACATAAAAAACATAATACTCAAACTAAATGGTTGTTACAATTATATGAGCAGTTGTTGCAGTAAAAAAACAACAAAAAAACAGATGTTTTATTCTATCATTGGACAAAATGAGTCCAAATGTTGGATGAAGTGAATGACAAAAGCTATGTCATTCTCCGGAGCTGTAGAAGAAAATCAAGTCAAAAAAAGAAAAGACATGTTGTACTGCAGCCAAACTGGGGATGGAGGAAAAGGAAAAAGAAGCAGGCAGTGCTCCAAGCCTTAAGAAGGCTCCAGAGGGCTCTTGGCCAAATGGTAATGAGCCCCAGGGGTTGCTTTGTTTCGTAGGGCGCTTAAGTGCCTGTGAAAACCTCTGAAACAAGGCGGCTTTGAATTATTTAGGCCTATGTCCCGGTTTTGCGGGCTCATGGCCTTGCCCCACTCTGCTCTGTGTGCGTGTTCAAATGGAGCTAGACCCAAACTCAGGCGGCTCCTTTCTTAAATAATAACTGGTCAAGACACATGTAGTGATACACAGTGGGTGCAAAGCTCTGACCTGCAGGCCCTACTGCTTGTTCTCTAACCCTGTCCCAGTGGAAAATGTGCTGTGCTGTGGAGTACCACAGGAACCCCGGGGCTGCTGTTGCTCACCATAGCTGAGGAGGAGCGTGATGAGTGTGAAATGTGGTTTCGGTTTCCCTCCATGCTCCCGCCATGGATCAGGTAGGTGCTGCCACTGGAGATGATATGGCTACTGCCCACATCCATGGCAATGCCAACCATGCCATGAGGGGGCACGCCACCGCTGGCAGAGGAGACCACGGTGGTGACGTGAGTTCCGCCCGCCTGCGAGTCAAAGTAGGTGCCCCCACTGCTCTGACCGTACAGCTGGGTCTCAGGGTTATAGGAGTAAGCTGCTCGGCTGGGGAGAGATAAGTGTATTAGCCGGAATTTGCCGATGAAATCTGTGCTTTGTCTCAGAAAATGCAACTGGAATACAATGCTGTTGTTATAATCCATTACTGTGGTGATATGAAAAAGAACCTTGGTGATCTCATCAAATCATTTTTTCACACTTGAGTCATGCCAAATAATCAAACTGTGGAAGGCAAAAAAAACAACAACACAAAAGCAGTTGGTTGTGACACAGCTTAAAGGATGAGAAAAGTGGAAAGAGTCATTTGTTATAATGTTTTGTTGTTAAAATGAGTCTGCAGTTGGAGGGTCGCCAAATGTGCACAATTCTGTGCTGTGATTTAAAATGTCAACATCATTTTTACAGGTTTTTAGTCATTTTGAATGACATTTTGAATGACTTGAATAATAACATCAGACTAAAGTGATACACTATCTACCTATCTGTGTAAACAACTTAGAGGGTGTGAAATGATATAACACTGCTCACATTGTTCCATTGGCATATACAGCATCTCCACTTTCTCCAACATACTGGACTTGGGATGGGTAGACATGCTGCACCTGCTGCACCTGCAAAAAGCAAGAATATTGGGCTACTCGAGGCTGATAGTAAAAGCAAACAGTCAGGGCTTTACATCCTATTTGTCCATCCATTAGCCTAGTGTCAATCACTAGTCCAAGGAAACACCAGCAATATTATGGCTGGACATTTGAATATAGGAACAGTTGTGTTTAAACAGCCGGTGTCTGCGGTGTACAGCAGGGTTTCTTGCATTTTAAACCTGGAAAAATACATTTCAGTGTCATATACATTCAAAGGAAGCAACAGTCCAGGTGAAATTGAATAATGAATAAATAAAAAAAGGAGTATAAAATATGTTTTGGATTAAACTGTTCTTTTGACCGAAAAAACTGGCAACCCCCACTGATGTAGACCACAAACAAGACATTAAGGAGTAATTTATAAAATACTGACTAATAAAAATGCTCAAAATTAGTTAATGAGTTTCTGGGATTTGGTTCAAGCCTCCAGGAACACTCAACTATTTCCTGAATCTGATATCCTGAAAGACAGCCCACCACAAATGCTGATGCTGTGTTGGTACATTTGGCACCCGTGGGTATTTTATTTAAGAGCTTCAATTATCTAAATACCCATCTAAAAAAGCTAAAGTTAGTGGGCTAGGTTTAGTCAGAGGAAGAAACCTTTTGGACTTTTAAGGGTGACAGAAACTTCTCAAATGTGGATGTGCAACTTTTGTTGGAATGAATGTGTTGCCATGCCTTTGGGGTTCAACAAAATAGAAGCATATAAGCATTTACTTTAATTTAACACTTGTAAATATTTGTACAAGTATTTTCAGAGCACTGTACAAGTATGCACAGTACTGTGTACCTGCTGAGGGACCTGTTGGACCCTGGGTACTGAAAGCTGTTGTACTTGTCCTCCCTTCTGAGCTGAGCCTGTGGCTTGAACCAGCACCCTCTGTGTGGATACAAGACATAACTCAATTACATAGGTGCACACGCCTAAAAACATACAAACACACCGGTCTAAACATTTGACACACAGGACGGCAAGGCAAAACACACAGGGATCTTTTTTTATTTTTGAAATACAGTCCTTAGCAGACATGAACAGCAATGATATCAACAGTCAAAGAAATACATACATACAACCTTTTTGAATGGCAAACGCACACAAGACGCATCCGTTGGCAGAGAATGGCTACAACCATGGAGGTTGCTGCCTTAGCTGCGGATGAGCCAAAAATCTTAACAACCTTTAAAAAAACAATATCAAAGCTATCCACTCCTGTTGTGACTTAATTCTGAGACACACCGAATCAGCTTGGAGCACACAAAGGAGAGAATCTGTTGCCAAGACACTGCACTGTCTGCTGTTTGAACACTGCACAGGAGCCAATATGACACATGGCTTCCAATTTATCATCCAAAATAACTTTTCTTTTATGGTTAAAGACTGGAAAGCCATGGGTGGAAGAGTTTCATCGTTACAGTAGCAGCAGGAGGAGATGTTAGGCTACCTGCTGGGAGGCTGGGACGGGCTGTACCACAGGAGCTTGGGCTGATGATGATGTCCGTAGCGCTGTCACGCTGGTCGTTGAGTCTGATCCTCCCTCTGAGTTCTGCATGCTGAGAGGAAAGACACAAGGTGGAATTATATGCCACAGGAAAAAAAGGTAAGAAATGACGATTTTCTTAATTAATGGGTTTTAGGAGTTCAAAGTCTTATTCAATTTCATTTCACATTGCTAAATATGCTAAATAGATGTTCTCACAGCCCATCCCCTCTCCTTAAGAGCCACCAGGGCATTCATCGAGCCACAGGGATTCTCTGTCTTTGCCAAGTAAAGCTGAGTCACCAAAGTGCTCAGAGCCACAGTGGTTGCCCACCTTAGGACTTAAACGGTAGTAGAATTGGCAGTCCAGCTGCACCGCACAGATAGAACCATGCTGAGCTGAAAAGTACCATGTGGAAAACTTACAGTACCGGAGCTCATATTACCAACAGGGTGACCTCCTTCTGGGGTACCAAACCCACTGCCACCTCTATGCTTTCCACTGGGTGACAATGTGAACAGCATAGCAAAGGGGAGCTAAAAATGGAGTGGCACAAAAGCTCTTTTTTAACTGAGGGAAAGAGCGGGAGTAAGGCAGGGAACAAGAAAAGAATGGTGCTGAAAAGGGGGGAGTAGGCAGGGAAGAAAAGAAATACAACTTCTCCACTCTGTCCAAAAAGAGAAGGGGAAAATGGGAACGGAAAAAGATGAAAATGACAGTGGGGTTCCAGCCCCTGCCAGGGTCCTGATGATATCCAGAGTTAGTTTCAAATGAGAGCCAGTCTCTGAGGGCTCCAATAATCCAGCTGATATGAGGAAATTCCTCAATGCTTTGTAAACGTTTGTCGGTTGCCATGGTGAGGAATCCATGACAACCACCCCAACTTAACCCCCCTCATCCCTACTTGTTCAGTCTTCTAACACCCCCCCTCTTTTTTTTTTTTATAAAGCTCTTGCTCAGGAACTCTTGAGTGCGACCACAAAGAGAAGAGGGGGAGGAGGATTGGAAAAGGGGAGAGGGACATATGACACAGTTGGGGGTGGATTGAATTGATGATCACTAGGTAGTTTAAAGCAGAAATCATAGGGCTTGAAAAGTCGGCAGTAAAACGAAAGACTTGTGGTCATGAGGAACATTACAGCGAAGGACCACAAGACACAACCTGCTCTCAGCATGCTCTGATTAGTCATAACACTCAGCGTGTACAACAACAGGATTTTAATTTACCAGAAGAGACCTGTCAAATACCACTTGTCTGAAATTTGTTAGAAAAAAGCAGGCAGTAACTAGTCTAAACTGACATAGACCCTAAATCAAGTTTTCTGCAAAGTTCTCGCCATTTTTTATCAAAACCTACACGCTGAACTGACAATCTGAGAAGTTGCAAAAAGAAAACCATCCAGATCTGACCTTGAGGAGAAAACAATTCAAAACTACGGAAGGGTCAGGATCAAGGAAATCCCAGTGATGGAGAGGAAGAGGAAATACATTTGATCAAACCATAGGCCCAGCAAAAAGACTGTTCTCACATCAGAAAGAGAACTCACATCCTCTTTAGTGGAACATTTCAGCTCAGTGAGGACTAAGATGACATGGGAAACCTATACGTTGATGACATGAATGCAACACAGACTCTAAATCTTAACCATCCACTGTTAAGAGACCAGTAACAGACATTTTAAAGGGGAAAAAAAACTATTTTACATTAAGAACTGTGACCACAGAGGTCTGAATCAAATCCCACAATGCCTTAAGACCGGCTTCACACCAGGAGTGCGGCACGTGTGTGGTGTCTGGAGAATTAACACATTGCACCATCCAAACCACAGCTGTGAGGTAGGAAGAGTTAAAGTGAACCTCATTTTCCACATGTGAAGCCTGTCGCAGATGTAGGGTTTTACTGTTTACCACTTTGCCTAGAGGCTGTTCATGATAAAGTACATCGTAAAAAATGCTGCTCATTATATATAGTCTCAAATAAACCAGAAGTCACCTGTAAATACAGATTAGTAGATAGATAATACCAGATATTCCACAGACAATAAGAATAAGAGAATAAGAGATGGTCCACTTTGATTACTAATCATAAACAATATTCTGATAAATTTAGCAAATGAATGGAAATCATCTGCCCTGACAATCAACTAGTGCTCTGACAGTAAGTGAAGCCTCGCAGCTGAGTGTGATGTGTTATTCTGCAGCGATGGAAATTGGTGTGAAATGAGAGGCCTAAACACCAATGATATCAATAAAATGGAGATGGTCATAGGTCCCACTGTATTATCTGTTAACATCCAGCGCCCCACCACAGATATGCCGCAGAAGTATAACTATTTTGCCCTATTTTAGGCCACGGAATGGAAAATGTCACCAGGGATAAAGAGTAATTTGTCTCTGATCCAAGTTATTAAAGACTTCGTCTAAAGTCATTCATCTAACGGCATCCATGTCCAAACTGTTGATGTTTCAATCTTCAATCTTCTGAGGAATGTTCCAAGGTATGCATGTGGGTATGCATGGAAAACCCATGTTCTGTAAGCATACCTCTATGTCACTTCAATTTATTTGTCAGCACAGAGCACAATTATCACATACATGTGGGGTCTCTCGTGTTCCATCAAAAATTACTTCACGCTCCTGTCTTATATGGAAGTAAAGTACAAAAAGTCTTTCATTATAACTACGCTAACAAGAGCTGGCAATTTTTAAAAGTGCTCACATTAATGCAGCATCTTTCTAAGGCAGGAATTTGGAAATGAGTGTAATTAAGCTGAATTATGAATACTGAGTGGCTGCCCATAGTGAGCAGAAGAAAAAATCTGAGCACTGACCTGTATGTTCTCATCTATTAAAGCACTGCCTTAAATAGGAATGGTGAAGTGTGTCAAATCCTTGAGCTGGAGAAGAGTTTAAGAGAGTAAATGAGGGCTTGAAGGAAGTTTGCTGCCTGGTGTTCTTTGAAGGTTAAAAAGCCACACAAAGTCCCCACCAGCAGCTTGGAAAGGCACAAAGGTAGAACACAGCAGGAGGCACAGCCCACCGCTGCAAAAGTGATACTCTGGATGGTCTGCTTTTGAGAGACAATCCTTTCTGTTTCTAAATCTGAGACAGCCACACAGTTTATTTTCATGTTCAGGCTTTAAGTCTTGGTTTGTTTGAGCAAATCCCAGAGGAGCACTTCACAGCAGGACGACTTTTTCCATCAAATGCCTCAGTTTCAAAAGCTAACCAGAAACAAAAAAAAAGTCACTCTTTGACAAGCCAAAACCCCCACAAAGTGTCACTAATCCTGTCCTTAGTAATGTTGATAATAAGAGAATTAATCAAAACATGTCGCTGACATGTCTAAAGTTATATAGGGCTCAATCAAGACAAAACACATACAGATGTTCAATTAAAAGCAGAAGCCCACAGTCTTGGCTCATGTTTGTACTGGCCCACATTGTTTGCAGAGCAACAACGGTTGCTAGTGGCAACACCGTCCACTCCCGTTTCCAGGAGCCTGTTGCCATGCAACCAACAGAATACTTCCCAAACCAAACAATGCCATCCCCCACCTGATCCCTCTATCTCACGCTAAGTAGAAACTTACAACAATAAATACTATGTAAGCCATTAATTTCAGACACCGGGGGAGTTGTTTCTGTGTCAGTCACATAAAATGTACAGACTCCAAAATGGCTGTGACTACACTGACAGGAACACAGTGAAGTTTTTGGCTTTTGTAACCACTTGGTTGTCAAAAGAAAAAGAAAAGCTTAAGTCATCAGGGAAACAACAAACTATTTTTCAAGGTTGCTTTATACTCATGCCAGCTGAAAATAAAATTTCCAAAATCAAGAGTTCTCCAGAGTTCCATGTGCAGAAGACTTGATAAACAGCTTGAGACAAATGCCTTTTCCAACTTTGAAGAAAACATATAAAATAAAACTCAGTATAAAAAACTTCTTTCTTTTGGAATAACAACATCTAAAGAAATAGAACACCATTGTATTATTACTTTATCACATTCATATATCAACAACAAAGAGCAACAGGTTGATATAAGGGGGAGAAACTAATGCTATCTATTTTGAGAATTCATTTGGTCTATGACATTATTATTTTAAACAAATTCAGTCATTTGCGGGTCTGAAAAAAAACATTAGGCTTTGATTTAATTAAAAGAATGTATAAGATCATACAGGCACACACACGTTCACACAAAGAACAAATTAAGATATGATAAGAGATTTCCACAACAGAGGCTGTTCTTCAAGCCTGTCTCATTAATTCATGGCTAATCCAATCAAAGCAGCTCTTGGGGTCTGCAGATGGCAGAGTTGGAGGGGGCAGGGGTGTGTGTGTGTGTGTGTGTGTGTGTGTGTGTGTGTGTGTGAGTGTGTGAGGGGGGGGGGAGCTGAGAGGATGCACCGACCACTGTCTCTGATCCAAGAATACTCCTCCCCTCCCCACCTCTGGTCATCAGCACAACCTGTCCACTCCGTCACCATGTGCACTGCAGGCCTGACAGCCTCAGAGAGAAAGATCAAACTGTTGCCATGGAGATTGTGTGTTCGCCTGAGCTTTACACTTCCTCCCCCAACGCCCTACATCATCTAACCCTTTCCAGATTTCCAACCCCCCTCTACCCACCTTCTCCATCAACCTCCTAGAACCACTCCTTAGCATTTAACATCAAGATGACGGCTAAAGAGTTTAAACAGGAAAGTTAAAAACAAAATGACAGTAAGGAGTGGGAAAAATGGGAAGGGAGCTCCCAACTCTGAATGTAATCAGACTATGTTCATGTGTGGGCTTCACTCTCCATCATAATTATTTATCCCATGTGTTCATGCAATGCCACGCAGATAACTCAAAGGAGGAACCTTGCTTTGATGCGTTGGCTGCTGGAGGATCAGTTGTGAAACCATTTTACGTCGTAAATCTTGCCTAATATCTGTTTTAGTCATAACACTGGGAACCAATCTTTGTCAGGGCTTGCCTTACATTTTGCTTTAACTGCAGAAAATAATAAGAGAAGTAAAATCTCTCTTTTGTTTACAAATTGTGTTAAACTCATGTTGCTTAAAGTCAATTGTTTTTGTGTCCAACCTGTACATTGGCAGCTTTATTTCCCATGGAGGCACATTCTGCACAGAAGACCTCAGATGCTGGCAGCCCGCTGCTTTGATTTTGACCGATGAACCTGAGATAAGTATCGCGTTGCACATGAGGACTCTGTCTTCTTGGCAAGCAATCTTTGAACAGAAGAGATATGACTCATGGAATCCTTGCGCTGTATGTACAGTATGCTTTCACAGGCACTACTTGACACGGACTATGAGTCACCAGTTAAAGCTTTAAATGTGAGACAGATTCAGGAGTCTGTTGTTCACCAAGTGAATACTACACTATGCTGATAACTTGCCATCAGTGATTTAAGTATTGGATGTCGTTTGCCGCTGTGGTCACAGGTAAAGGTTGGATGGCTACCATCCTAGACAGCAGCCGTGTAGAAATTGGCTTAATGTGACATGTCAAGACTGCTGTCAAGCTATCAATTAGCTTGCTTTTAGTTGCGCTATCTCTTTTCAATCTAGATTACCAAACTAACAGCTGATGTCACACCAAGCGGTGCCATAACATCAGTAATCAAGCTGGAAACCAAACCTGGTTCTCGGAATCCAGTTGTGCACACATGTTAAATTGGATGTGATGATGTTGACATCTGTCAAGTAAGAACTAACTAAACAAAAGTGATCTATTTAAACACATGAAACAAGACTTGAATTTGACGTGAGTGTTTTTTATGTTAACTATGTAAACACCATGGAAAGTAAATGGGTTTAGATTGTTTAAGACTTGGGAGAAAGCCCAAAACTGTCCACACACACACACGCACTAGAAGCTATTGGTCATCTTATGAGCATTATAAGAGTTTAAATTAAATCAAGTAATTAATTAATTGTTGCAAGGATGATCCAGATTCAGAAGTGAACCAGTGACAGTTCTAAACAGACTTAAAGTTGAACACAGTTTGTCAAGCCACAAACTCTTTATTGTAGGGTGTGTGAAATTCCACATACTGCCACGGGGCTGGACTGAACACGAACAAGATATGGAACTAAAATAATCTTTGAGGTTTCAACTATTTTGATTTTTTTCATCAAATAAATAAATTGAGTAAAAAATCCATTGTGCTGCATTGTGTTCTACGGCGATGCTCTCATTTTGTCTCGTTAGGACAGCTTTGACCTCCAAAAAAAGCTACCGTTTACTCATCGATGGGTTGCCCTCATGTTTAGTTCTGCACAAATCACAGAAGAATACTGACCAACAAATCAAGGTGGAAAATACAGGTCATATAGCAAGTGCTGTAGATATTAAAATTACTGTGGGAAGCTCTACCTCGGGAAACGTCCTTCAGTCTGACAGGATTACTACTATTGATATTTATGTGGAAATAGCATACAATGTAGCTGCTAAATACCTCCCATATTGAGTACTGCAACTTTAAGATGTTCTCCATTTAGGATGCAATTAGTCTTGATCTTCAAGAGCCCTCTGTTCCCACCAAGATCTAACAATAGCACCATTCAAAGTAGAGCTAAGAGGCATCACAATAACAATCTGCCTCTGTCCATCTTTATGTCACTGCTAAACCATAGGAAAACCAGTAATCTAAGAATTCGACCATGGTCCTAGACATTACTAAGCAATTAATTGGAATGAAGAAGAGAACATGCACAAAATAAAATTTTCCTTCCTTTTAGGTGTTCTGAAATGAGAACAAAAAAAAACAGGAGTCACATGCAGTAATTGGACATCATTAAGAGGATCTAAATTCTATCAGTGATTTAACTCTATCAAAAGAGGAGTCATGACTTTTCTTTTTCAGTTTCATCCAGCTGTTTTCAAGCAAATGAATGATCTACGATTATCTTAAACAATTGCAATTACCACATTAAGTGATGGTGAAAGCTCTAATTGGGACATCCACAATCAAGCTAAAGCAGAGCTGTTCCCACCTGTGCCTCTTCTGCAGCTGTTACCCATAAAATACAACCCTTAAACGTCATTTGAAAAGCACTTGTGGCGATCCAACAGAACTATCAGCCTAAAAATAGCGTCTGGAATTCCTTCTTCGCTTTATCAAGACAAATCTCACAAGACTCCAGACGAATACTGGATTTGTTTATTGATTTTTCACATACAGAACTTGAGTATTTGCCATCTCTAGCCCAAAGCTCAAAAAGAAAAGGAATAGAGAGGAACAAACGGGGGTCTACTATCCCAGCCTTAAAGAAGAGGGGGAGGAGAGAGAGGGGAAGGAGCTGTCATTGTAATGCTAATACCCAAATATCACTGCCTTGCCTGCTGTTTGTGGCAGGAAATTTAATTACAAGTTGTGTAGCTACGATACAAACAGGTGGAATGTTAAGAATGTTGCTGATGACACATACACAGACACTGGAGACGGGCTGAAAAACATTTCATTTCATGACAGGTTTCAACTTGTTAGCGCCGAACGAGTGGCAATAAGTGACAACATTTTTAAGGCTATGACAGGAGTTGCTTCTTTGCAGCCTAGCAGCTGATCCCGTAAGGATTCCAAAAATCTTTATAAATGGACTAATGTACGAATCATAAAGACACCTTGACACCCACATGCTTTTACTTTGGATAAGTAATTAAATACAGTAACCGAGTTAGAAAGATTAAAAAACTAAAAGATTTCATGTGTAAAAATGGGACTATTATTTTCTACTTAACAAGGCCCAATGGGCATTTTGTTTTCAGCCTTTCTGCTTTGCTTTGTGATTTCCTGACATGCCTTTGACTGGGTTTATGAGATAAACCATTAAAACAGCGTTAGAAATTCATGCAACAACGTGTGAGGAAGCCAACAGCTGGGTTATAACAGCAGGAAGTAAATGCATATGACCAACTGTAAACAGCAGCCGGAAAAAAAAAAAAAAACAGACGGCAGTGATCGGGTCCATGTCTATATCTGTAGCAGGCTATTGGATGGAGAACCTCTCCCCAGGGCAGCAGTGGGCCTCAACTAGATTGCTAAATACAGCATGAGCAAGCACACACTCCAACATCACACACTCATATATGCACATAGAAAATTCACACACCACATACACACACACACAGAACATGTGACTAAAAGCTGTGTCAGGTCACCCGCTGCCCAAGAGACCACTGCAGCTGTCCTATTGATAGTTGAACTGTACACAGACGGTTCCATTAACACTCAACAACTATTCATAAAAATATATCATATAGGTGACTTTAAAAGACACAATCAACACATTTGTCAGATTTTGTGTAAAATATGGGCCATTCTAGCACTTAATGCACGAATAGACTAAAGCATGAGAGCGACAGGCTACAGGCCTAGCTACTAAAGCCACCAATGGTAGCTCAAATTCAGCAATAATAATTTGAAAAACAATAACATTCTCATAAATCATCTCCTCTGATTAGCAGCTGCTTTCTACACATCTTTTCTCACTGACCTGCCACCATGAACCAAAAACATGCTCTCAGATGACAAACAGGGAGATGAAAATAACCTGATTAAAAACACTGACATTTAAAAGAATAACATTTCACCCCCTGGCCCTCTCTAACCCTTTTCTTTCCATGGCTTGGGTGTATTTGTATATCGAGTTGCCATGTAAACATAACAGTGTCACGCTCAAATTGAGAGTTGGGGATGGAGGAGGTAACACTGTTTCAGCACAGTTATTCATTGTTACTTCTTTTTGCTAATTTAACCTCACTTAATTTAGCTGTCTGGGTAATGAGCCGATCATCTCGCTGTCATTTACTTTTAAACATGCCCTCAAATATTTTAGACTAAAGGGCAAAAAATTAACATAATAGGCAAGTTATATAATGAGCTAAATAACTGTTTTGAGTATTGATGATGTAACTGTGCTGAACAAACTTTTTATTCGACTTCTTCAACAACACATTTACAACATAATTCAAATGCTATGTGGATACATATGTAATACAAACATATTATGTACGCATTATACATATTCATGAAGCTTATTATTTGTGTGCAAGGGCATTAATTAGAGACACTCGTGCAACAATTTTTTTTCTGATGCTTCAGTGGCAAACACCACAAATGACCGAGCACCTGACAGATGTCTCAGAGAAGACACTTTGTTAGAACTAATGTTTCTCGAGGGACAAAGACAGGCAGATTCCCAGAAGGAAAAAAGGCAAATGGTAATGAGAGAATGAAGAGAATAAACCAGCCACTGACACGCAGTAAAACTAATAAAAGGGGAACTTAGAATCGCGGGGGGTCTCCTTTTCCCATTGTTGCTGTTTAAAGCCGCAGCACATAATGATCCGACGGGTCAAACAACAACATCGACGAGACCTATTTGAGCAACTAAGTATTGATACTGAAAATAACTTCATCATTAATTGACATGCAGTCTGTTTAATAAATATGAATTCGGTCAAACTTCTCAGATAATCTTTTAACAATGTGTGGAGTGACGCAGTAAAAAATAGAAATGCATTGAGTTTTCTGCATTTAAGTATAGCTGGTTATAGTTTTAATACGACTCCAAAATTATTCAAAAGTAATATAAAATACCTATATAAAAAAGAGCCATCAAACAGTAGCACCACCTAGCTGTTACATATGCTCTTAACGAAGTTATATCTGAAAATCTGAAAACTTCATGACTTTGAAGCGCCACCTTGTTCCACTCTGATATCTGACGTTACATAAGCAGGTATGAATTCATTTAAATGCTCTGAAACGCAGACCAATGGAAACGTTAGAGTTTGAATCGGTGTAACAGCAACGTCGTAAGCACGCTGGGTTAAGTGGCAAGTGCTCACCTAAGTAAGGATTTTACATCCTATTTACGACCAATTGTGGTTTGATAAACGCCCAAGAGGAGCTGACAACCTGCCTTGTGGCAGGAAAGTGCTCGTGGAGATGAGCTCGCGGTCGGTCGCAACGGACGTTGGTAACAGTTGGAGCACCTTTACCAACGGAGCTAAGGCTAGCTAGCCGCACTTCCACCTGTTTTAAATCTGCCCCGAACGACCGAAGCGTCCAGATAGAAGTTTGTTCGGGTTGTGGACGACGACGGAGAGCTGCCACTGACGGCGCGACACACGTCCAAACTCACGAGAGAACTTGCACTCATGGCTGCTGGTAAATTAGCATTAGCTCTACTCGAGTTAAAGCTCGCCTGACCATCCATCCTGCTGGGACTGAGCTGGAAGTGCGTTCACGTCTCGACACACACACACAGCACAACGTAGCAACAAGTGTAAGGAGATGCTGAATCAGTTCAGAGTTACAGAAACAACGGCGGTGTGTATCAACAAAGTGTAGCCGAAGTGTGGTAGATCACAGGCGGACATAAAAAGGGTGTCCGTGTTAAATGAAGGCACGAGAACCGTCCGCAACTCGGAGCGGATGCAACAAAGAAGGGAAAGTTAGGCTGTTTGTGGCTAAGACACGTTCGATTTTTGAAGTGGTTGGTTGTCTAAATCAAGTACAAATCAGTTTGTAAATTCTACAGATTTATAGTACCTTTGCCTTGAGAAAAGTTCAGCCCTTGCACTTCTCTTTTCCCCTCTCTTTCTCTCGCACGGTGACTTCCAGATGCTGCTGCTGTTGCTCAGTGTTGCGCCCGTTGGTAAGTAACTGTCTCCACGGCTACAGTCACTATAGCGCGACGGGGTCTCGAGGCAACTGTTGCTACCCTCGAAAGGCTACGTCAGGGCCCTCACTATAGGAAGGAGGGGCTAAATGGACAGTGTTCCGCCCAGGTAATAAAGATGGAGATTCAGAAGGCTCCACTAGAGGGCGGTGTTGTGTTTGGGAGTGATAAGGCCCACTATTTACACAGGAAAACCCTGCTATTAAATTTTCAACGTCTGCATTGACACTGACTGAATTTATTATCTAGTATCGCAAGTAGCTAAATTTAGTTGACTGACTCATTTAAGACTCTGCGGAACAATTCTTTTGCCGTTTAAGAATTTACACAAATTTCTAAATGAAAGATCTAGAGTTCATTTTTCCAGTTTAAAGCATCATTTATTTATTCAGAGAGGACACTTTTCCAAAATGATATGTTTAACCATGTACATAAGAAATCTTTAGCTTTAGTTGTCTACAAAGATATTTAAGAAACTGTAATTCTTAATTTTATGTTAAGGTCATGACATATGCCACAGAAATATATTCCTAACATTTTTCAAACAAAATTAACTGGAGGTTTAGGGTGTGCAAGTGTTGCTATGTGGTGATTTCTAACTTAATAATGTGAAAATAAAAAATGTTTTCACTGTTGAAGTATTAGAATATGTAGAATACAATCCATTCATCCTAGAAAGCATGGTTTCAAAGGAAAATATTTCAACTGTCCCACATCATCATTAATCATTCTCTTGAGCACCCTGGTTATTTGCATTTATATTACAAAGTTCCTGAAATGTCGTTGAACACTGCTCTGACCCCTAACTGATTCAGATACATTGAGCTTACTAACATGTTAGGAATCTTGGTTGTATGTCAGTTTCTTACATTGCCAAATATCAAAGAGCTGCGTAACAGAATTTGAATTTGCTTTTCCATCATCAGGGTCTTCTTCATACAATGCCTTCTGCATAAAAGTCTGTGGTCACCAGAGCATTCTCTGTACAGGAGCACTTCAGTGTGCCGATTGATTCATTCTTTTTCCAATCTCTTGTCTATTCAATCCAGCATACCCCTATTTCTTGTGGTTTTTCATTGATCAATATTTTAACTGATCAAATCTAAAGCAGCAAAGACAAAAAAATAATCTAAAAAACTACATTTAATTTTTTTGTGCTGCTTAATAGCTGCTACTGTTACACCATCAATTTGTTTCAAAATCAATTTTAAACCTTTTTTAACTGTGTTTGTGTTCTTATACATTCATATCTATTTACATGTCTTTGTAGCGTGTTTTAGCTTCCGGTATCTGTGCATCACACTCTAATCTTATTCTCTTTGTAATGATCGAATCGTGCCTTCCTGCAGTTCCTTTTTTCAGCACAAGACGGAGGCATACAACTATATTGTGAGACTGGTTCTTCAGATGAACAGAAAACTCTTTCACTCACCTTAATGAATTGTGTATAAATGCTTTATTGAAGTACTGTGGATCCAAGGTGAAACAGAAGTGAGTTTCAGCCCTAAATACGAAAGTGTACTGAGCATGAATCAGTAATAAAGACACATGAAATAACAGGATGTGAACAAATGACCTGACATTTGGATTTTGGCATCAGAACAAGCTGTTGTTGACATATTTCCTGAATCTCAAAAGCAAGTTTACTGTGAGGGTAAACTAAAAGTGATTGTACAAATGTTCCTTCAAATGGTCTCATCCAATGTTATATTCTTTACATAGGCCTACCAAGATTATCTGTTGAATTGAGGTTTCTTTATAATTTATCCAGGAAGCACACTATATAGTGTCCAAACGCTAAATTAAATCAAACATCAATAAAACTGAATGATGTTTTTATTGTTGCCATGTGTTATGTGAGTGTATCTTATTTGATTTGAAAACATTTCATTTTCCTATAAATGTATGTGATTTGTCCCCTTCAGTTTTTTAAAATAACACTGAAAGAATTAGTCATTTACATGGTTTAAAACGATGCCAACAATCACACTTTTCAAATTGGAAAATGACTTCTTCCTCATCTTTGACAAAGTGAAAAACTCCATCTAAAACTCTGAGTACGACTGAACGTTTTATTGAGTGGATGTTAAAGCCTAAAGTGTGGGTGTCACGGGCTTTGTGGCCCAGGCTGCTCCGGCAGGTGTGAGGAGCAGGTCAGCTCACGAGCAGCACGCACGTCACCACGTTAGACGCTTTCAAATAGTTCTTAGAAGCGGCAACTGATGCCAGAGCTTATTACTTATTTAAACTGAAGCCGTTACATACTTCACTCGTCATCACGGTAAGAATATATATTTTTTTCTTTTTTTGTCTTTTTTGCCTTTCTGTTCCCGTTTTGGTACGTATTTAATTTATCGAGATTCATCCTACAATGAGCCGGCTGTGGTATCCGTCAGTGCTGTCTGTTAGCATGTAGGCTAACTCAACAGGTTTCCATGTTTAACTTCGGGAGTTAAAGTCGACTTAAGAAGCGCGTTTGAATAATAAAGGGGTGTTTTTTAATTTCCCCAATGAAGCATTTTGATATTTGACCAAATGTTCTGACATAGCCAAGGAAAAAATCATAAGCCGTCACAGTTTTAAGGGTAAAACGGCAATAATGAGGTCTGAGGGACTACATATCCCATAAGCTTTGTAATGCAGCTTGCTGGGAGCTACAGTTCTTGGACGTTATCGATTAGAATATGCCCACATAGCTATTGAAGCATATATATTCACATGCTATAAGGCTAACAAAACTAAAAGCTTAAATTCTGTTGATTACTGATCTCATTGAATATGTTTAAATCTGCATTTAAAAGTCAGTCTGAATATTTTAGCTTATGAACACGTTGCAAAGACCATTGGAGATTTCTGGCCATTTATTTTCTACATCAGCTTTGAAGATTTGCTTTTCATCAGAGTGCGAAGTATTGAATAATCATCATGTGTTGAGTACATTTAAGGACATCATGTATCTGTCACTGTCAAATGTCTACAAAGCACATGTATTTGCAGGTTCAAGCATAAAAGTGTTTTCCTATGATTATGGTTTGGCCATTGTCATGTCGGTCTGTTTCTCTCAAACAAATACACACACCAGCAGACAAACAGCAGATCCTCTTATGCTCTGGCTGCTGACACTAATATGCGTGATCCAATTCAATCCAATGAACCCTACTGAAACACAGTTCTCCTACATGATAGCAGTTTTAATACAAACCGTTTTGTTTTTTGTTTTGAAAAGGTTTAGGATACTGCTGCCTTTCCACTTTTAGAGCTGAAAAAATGTTTTCTCGCCTTTTGGCTGCAGGGGGAAAAGGATAAGGAATTTTTTACTGACTACTTTCAGGAATCTTCATTGTTTTCTGTGTCATGAGTGAACGCACCAAAGAGGAATTCCAAGCAGAATCACTGCTTGGAGCTATCAGACGCAAACGTCATAGTGCTCAAAAAGCCTGTGTGCGTGAAAGAAGCCAGGTGCACTGGAACATGCTACACTCAGCTGATTCCAGGACACTGGCTTCCAGCGAACAGCACATACTTATCTGGTGTACGCTCTAGTCTATGTGACTTGCCATAGGGTGAACAACTCCACAAGGAGTTCATTCTTTTGGCAGTCTGACAAAGAAAACTGAAAAAAATGTGAGTAAAAGCACATTTATTGGAAAATTCTATGAATTATGTGGATGATATCTGTAAAAAAAAATACTGCCCCGAATGCAGACAAGCCTCTAGAGGCTGACACTAAATCTCTTAATCTAACATAAACATGCAGGCAAAGCATTCACTTTTTCCAAAGTTCTAATCAGTAGGAGTTAGTTCTAACTAACTTGAAATAATATCAGTCGACTATGAAATATGTCATCATGTTGCATCCACAAAAATGATACAATGATAAATTGTGACATACTTATTTAGATTCAACTGTGAAAGTGAGAGTTTGTTCTGGAATATTAGGTACTTGGGACAAAGATATCCGGAGAGTGGGACAGCTGACCCCCATGCTGACCGGCAGCACACCCAGAGTGGGGGGCATCACCATGCAGCATGTCGGTGCAGTGCGCATGTGCACACTGACTCAGGTTTAGCCATGGCCTCTGACGCGGTGCTGGGGGGGCTCTGGGCTGTTCGTTGGCAATTGGCTGGCAGAAGTCTTTCGTCTCATCAGGCAACAGTGATGGCACATTTAGGTGAAGTCATGCAGCCATTTGCACACGAGTGATTTAAAGATTAAGCTGAAAAGTCAGCCACTATTAAGGAGGTAATTGCATTGGATAAATAGGATAAGATCCATGCAGCCCGGCTGTGGTGCACACGTAGGCTCAGCTTTTAAGCGCACACGTGTTCAGTGAAGGTACCTTTTCATGTGAATATGTACAGAGAGAGATAGTGTGTGATTTCTTTTTTTTAGTTAACTGTTTATCATCAAGTTTGAGGAGAAGATTTATGTGCTTTCTGCTTCGTCTGCTTCTTCTGTCAGAGTGATGCATGAAGGAGTCCAGAGGAAGTGTTTTGTCACGTTTAGCTGAGAAAAGCGTTTAGCCTGTGGTTATGAAATCAAATTACATCAAAGAGACATTATTGTTTGTTTTTTCCTATACAAGCGTCTGCAAACAGTAAACGTTTTCCTCAATGTTAATTTCTTCCTCTTTTCTTGGCTTCTTGACTATCAGGTCACGACTTGTGAAAACGAGAAGTACAGGATTAACCTGTCACACCTTATAATGGGACTGAGGGCTATGGTTTTGAGTCAGATGGCTAAAATTAGGCTGCCAATACATAGAGAATACATTTAATCTCAATCGTATTTTTATCAAGTGTGAATGTTTTTGAAACGAGAAGACAAAAAGGTGATGAGATGTTCAATGGAGAAATGTCCATATTTGCCTCACTCAAAAGGTCTTTTTTTTATGTCCAATGAATGCATCCTGAAAAGATTGATCAGCAACATTGGATGGAATTAAAATCATGTAGATTCAATGTAGAATTGGAGAGATCATATAGACTTCAGTCGTTGTCAAACGGTGAGGCTGAGCCGGCACAGCTGCATTTGTAGACCGTCTCTTTGGAGACCTTTTCATACCGTGTGTCCAATAGTAACCCCAGCCGACGTATCTGCAGCGTGTACGTGTGTAAAGCTGCATCTGGCTCTGCTGGGGGATGGGCACCAGTTTCACAGCATCATCTGTCAAGAGAAAATGTGTGTGCTTCCCCCTCCCTCTTCATTTTGGTTTGCATGGCCTTATGTGGAAAAAGGGTTCTTGTGGTGTGAGCAGTTTCAGCCAATCAGGCTGCTTTGCAACGAGAGGAAGGAGGGGGTGACTGGAGGAAGCTGGCAGGCCAGTATGGGTGGGGTCTTCAGGGGGAGGGACCTACGGAGCCGGCTGCTGTTTGAAAATGAATGATATCCTGCTTTAGTTGTACACACAGTGGTGGCTGAAGTAAATGTGCGAGTCTCCCGGCTAACTGAAGCCTCAGCGTTTGTACAAAGGAGACGGGGAAAAAGAGGAGGATTCCAGTGAAATCCAAAGGGAAAACAGGTCCGTTTCCAGCAATGCAACGTGAGTACTGCAGCTATCTAGAATGATTCATACGTGTGACTTTGAGGACGTCCCTTTACCTTAAATCCCAGCCTTCGCTTTCAGATGTCAACTTTGTCAAGAACTCGTTTGATAGAGATCCTTAGAAAAACGCAGGCTGGCTTATATATTTCTGTGAACATTACTCCATCGTGTTTGGTAAGGATGATTGACGCACTGGCTCTGATTTACTGTGTAAGCCATTTATTAACACCAACACGTTTGGCTTAATGGCGTTTAGCAGCGAGAGCACAATTCCCAGTGTCAAATGGGTGGATTTACAGAGTGGCCAGAATACGTAGCGTCCTCTACCTTTAGACAACATGGACAGACCTCACTCCTTGACAGATGGGTGTAACCCCACCAGCGGATCTCTGAGTCTGCCAGTGCAGCTCTTGCTAATACCTCCTAAAGCATCATGTTCCCACCAAGTCCTGACTGACTAAAGAATGCTTGCAAATTGTGAAAAACAGGCCACTCGTGCGATGATGGTGCAGAGGATCACACCCAGTCCTGAGCTGCTTGACTAAAGGCAGCCGGCTGAGGATTCAGATCACGCAAAGCCCTACATTATCATCTCAGGTGTGTCTCCAGACACATAAATAGCTTTCAGACAGCTAAGTGTTCTAAACAGACAAAAGAGGAGGCGGTTAGACGGGGGATTTTTCTTTCTGAAGTTTATTGGTGTGATGCGATGCTGCTGTATTTTGGGGGGGGGGGGGGGGGGGGGG